AGTTTAGGAAGAAGAACTCGGTTCGAAATTCGAACCATATATGCAAAAAAATTATATTGTTAAGAAAGCTTTTCCCTTTAGCTATTGATTATATATCAAGAGATTACTCTAATGGATAACATTTAAAATTTGAGTGAATAGTTATCTAACAAAAATATAGTTATAATGAGCAGAAAAACTATCCATTTGATTAGTTATATATTCTCCGTCTTATATTCTAGACGTGATTTACTGGTAAATTTTTTCTGGCTGACAATTGAAACCGCTACTAGATAATACAGTTTCTACCGTATTTTATGATTGTCACAAATTAATATTTTATGGCAATTTAATTTATTTAAGAATTTGTAATCACCACAAAAAAATTTAATTATTTTAATTTTTTTCCCTAATGGACACTCTACCAATTCAATATCTTAAATAAATCTAGAGGATTCTTTTAGTAAATATTCCTTAATTCAAACATAAAATAATAATAAAATAAATTATTTTGAACGGTCAACGATTATTAATATTATCAATAGTAATAATGTTTGTTTGTCAATATTTATAAAAAATATGTTACATTTATTGTCAATCTTTGTTAAATTTATAAATTAAAAATATGCAATATTCTTTAATATTCTATACTAATACGTTAATAATGAAAAAAAATATAAAATAAAATAAGATAAAATTATTAATATATCTACTTATAAGAATTTATGTTTGTTAATGATATAGAAAAAAAAAAATACATTATCATATGTTTGAGAGTGTGAATAATAGTTCATATTCGTTATTTTTAAAATTTTTATTTTAAATTAATTCTATATCAATTCTAGAAAAATTTGATGTAAAAGATAATTTTTACATTGTCAAAGTAAAAAATACTTTTTATTTCAAAAATAATCAATGTAAAAAGTATTTTTTTTATATTAATTTCAAAATACAACTTATGTATAAAATATATTTTACATTGGTTATTTAGTAACTAATGTAAAAATTCTAAAAAAAAAATTCTTTATTATTGTAAACTTTAAAGAAGAAGTTTAGTATAAAACTTTTATTTACATAAATTATATGTCTATGTTATGTAACTTTTTGAAATTTATTTAACTTAAATTTTTTTCCAAAATTTCTAGTATTTTTCTTTTTTGTCTAATTTTTACGTCATTTTAAAAAATGACTGATATAAAAAGTGTGTTTTATATTATTATTTTGACAATAAATATTAAAAAATTTATGTTATTTTTAAAAATTTCATCACATTTTTTATTAAATTGGTTAATTATCAATTGATGTAAAAGTCTATTGTAGAATATCTTTTTTATACCAGTAAAAATTAATTATCATTTAAATTGTAATAACAAGATGAAAAGTTAAATCAAAATGAAATCTAAAGTAAAAATGAAATGTCTAAATAGTCAACTAATTTCTAAATTAAAATAATAATTATAAAATCAAATTTTTAATTAACAAAATAAATAAATAATCCTTTTTTTCTCTATATATGTATTTATTTTGCTTTATGTATTCAAATTTGTGTATTAGTGTAGAAAAAGTAAAGTTATTTTAATTTTTAATTTTTTTTACTAATATACCTTTTAATTGAAAATCTTTACTTCTCTTTATTTTCCATTTGACAAATTTTAATATATTTTAACTAATAATGTATCAAAGAAACGTGTTGCTAGTATTTTTTATATATATACTAGAAACCATCAATTTGACTATAAAAAAGGAGAAAGTTAACGAAGTTTTATGCCAATTTTTACTTGCTAATAAATGATATGATATTTTTATTATTTAAAATCTACTAATAATTTGTGGTTGCTTTTAATAGCAATAAATAATCAATCAAATTTATCTTTACAATTAATTATAATATGCAAAAATATATATTTTTCTCACACAAAAAATTTACTTTTTTAAAAGTTAAAATAATTATATTTATTGAAACTTAAACTTAAGAGCACATGTTAATAACAACTTTCTGTCAGCAATTCTAAGATTTTTGGAAAGGCTATTAAGGTTCATTTGTTCAAATATTGTATGCATAAGTGGCCAGTAACCGCAACAGAATTTAATTGATGTAAAAAAGTCTAAAAAACACTATTTTTTTATATATAGAAAGTAATGTTAATGAATAACTATATTTTATACTGATATACTTAAATTCAAGTTGAGATTGCTTATAAAACATGTATAAACACGATAACCATAAATGAGAGTGAAGGGAAATAAAAAGAGAAGCTTTTTTTCATGGAGTTGGAGAGGTAACCCAATCTCATACATGTACAAAGCACTTCTGAAAATTGAAGTGTGCGTGGGAGGGAAACCCTATTAAAGCATTTAAATATATACAATTTTATTACAACGTTAATCTTATGAAACGTTGTAATAAATAAAATCATTTGAAGCTTTGTAATAAAGGAATAAATAAAATCTATTATAGCATTTGTTCATTTGAAACTTTGTAATAAACCATACAATTACTTCATTTAATCAAATACTATAAAGACTATTATTTATTACAGCATTTCATCTTTAAAGCGCTTTAATATATTTTAGAAAAAAATTTATCTTACTTCTTATATGTTTGATGATGGATAATTTAGACATTGACTTTTGAAAGCATGCAATGCAAGATCTATACTTTTAAAATTGTGCAAAGAAACATTTTCATTACCCAAATGTCTAATTCCTTTATTTTTTGAACAAAAATATTCTTAAAAATATTTGCTACAGAAAAGGAGATTAGGGATTTAAGAGTATTTCTGTCCAAAAAAATAAGAGATTGAATGTATGAGTAATGAGAAGGCTTCTTTTCACATTTTAAAAAACATAAAGCGTTACATTACACATTAAAGTTAGAATCTAAATTGCACATGACCAAATATATAGAAAAATAAAATAAACTTTTTTTTATATTTTTTTTAATAAAATTATTGCATATGTTTGTATAGTCATTTTAATATTACTAGTGTTAAATCTCTTTTCTTACATAATAAATCCATGTACTTATGGTTAAAAATGATAATTTTTTTGTATTATTTAATTAAAGTAAAAGTGTCTAAATACGAATATTTTGATATTCATAAAATTTTGAAGTAAAAGTTTTATTATTTATGGTGATCATATTTAAGCAGAATTATTTTTAATAAAAAAACATATAGATAATTTAGACAAAAACAAACATTACAACTACTAACCACGCAAGTATGAATTTAAAGATAAATATTTTTAAAACCAAATAAAAGTCATAAATGTTATATTATCTTATTTAAATTTTAATTGTTTTTTATATAATTATCCGAGGGAATACGAAAGATATCCCCGGAAAAAGCTTTGACATAACAGTGTATTAATTATTAAATCATAATTTTTATAAAAAAAATTGACTTATTTTATTACTAAAATGTTATGTATTATAACAATAAAGATTTAATAAAATTAAATTATTTTAAAATATAATTTATTTTGAAATAATATCTTTATTTTATAATGCCAAAAAAATATTAATTAAATGTTAAGGTCTGTGTCTATGTCATATAAACATCATTATAAAAAAAATATATTTTATAAATATAAAAATATATATAGATAAAAAATATATAAATTTATAAAAATAATAAAATAACAACTTTAATTTTTAAAATTTTGAATAAAATAAGAATATAAATAATTTTTTTATAAAAAATATAATTCAATTTTAATTTTAAAATATATACGTGAAGAAAGAAGTCTTTATACATGTTTTACTTTATTAAAAAGAAAATATTATTTACAATACAGAGATTAATAAAATTATAATTGATTAGTAATTTATTTTAATACATATATATATATATATAATATGTAAATTTGAACATAATATATTTAAATTTTTATTTTAATTGAATAATATCTATACAATATTCAAGAAATTTATTAATGTAGCACAAACCTTCAAATCAAATATAGTAATTAGAAAGTGCTGTCAAGTAGGGCGGGTAAAATGAGGTACTCGACCATCTGTGCTGGGTGAGTAACAAACTTCAATATATCGACCTGAAAAACTTGAAATGTAATTTGAGTTTATAAAAATAATGTTAAAATATATATATATATTTTTTAAATTTAACCCAAATTAGACTTAATCGAATTAAAATAAAAGATATAAAATAATTGAAATGTATTTTGCAAGCTCTCCTAGCAACAGCGCAGCCCGGGCGTTGTCGCTTCTCAAGCCATATATAATATAAATGCAAATTATTAAAATAATTTTTTTTTAATAATTGATTTGTTTTATAAGGATGAAGCTAATTAATACAGCACTGTGGTAATTGTCTACGGATAATATTCCACTTAAATATAATTATTATTCCATTTTCTCAGAGTCAAATTCGGACGCCCCTAAATTGAATAATAAATCCTCTAAGCTGACTTTCTAGAACATCTCTGCCAAAACATGGTTTCAGTTTTTATGCCGAGATTGGTTACTCACCCATGCATACACATCTTCTCTCTCTCATCATTCTAAGACTTTTCCTTCCAACTCTATTAATAAACACAATAGACCAGTATCAACAATAATCGAATCAATGACATCAACCAAAATATTTATTTTATTTATCTATCATTTTTAAATAATATTAATTATTATTATGTATTTATACTCTTTTAAAAAATTGATAATCATATATAAAATGAGAAAAATAAAGAATATATACCAACAAATAATTTTTTATATATTTTTTCATATAATAAACGTTTTTTTTTCATTTATAGAAACTTTTTATTGATGTAAATTTTTAATTTTAATTAAAAATAACATCCTTAAAGAATTATTTATAAATTTTGTTCTTTTGATAACAGTTAAAGTTTTTTTTTAATTAACTTCAAATTACATATAAAAGTTGTTATTATTTATTGTTTGGTAATCACTTATTATTATTATTATTATTATTATATGTTTCTAGACACACATGCTGTCGCCACCTCTTACGACTTATTCTTCACTAATTTTCTTCCTTGCTATTCCCGTCGTAGACTCCCTCTTGTTTCTTTGCAACGTCTTTGACCTCAAACCCCTCTCTCAAGCCACCACGCTTCTTCTTCTTCTTCTTCCTCATCTTCAAGTTCAACACCCATTTCTTATATACCCTTTTCATTGTTTTTCAGCTACCCTTCTCAAACAACGTGTTAATAAAACCAACACATATATATTTGTTGCACAACCACACCAATTGGTTCCTGTTCTAACTCTGCAGTTCCTCTGGGTTGGTTTTGCTTCTTCATGCTTTCACATGTTTTCACTGTTACCATTTGATGAATCATGGGTTCCAAGAAGCCACAGTTAACACCAACAGAAACAATTCCCAATAACAACCAACAAGACCTTCCCACCATTGTTCTCCCTCAACTGTCAAAATCTAAGTCAAGTTCCAGCAACCCAGTTCAGAACCCTTTGATGATGTTGAACTCATCTTCATCCCGCAGAAGTGCCATGTCCATTCACTCTTCTGGGAGCTCTGGCAGGAGCAGGAGCAACAACAACTCCTTCCATGAAGTGACTTTCTCACGCTCAGGATCCAAACCTGTGAGGTATGGCTCAAAGGGTGGTGCTGATTCTGAAGGACTAAGCATGTCCCAGAAGGAACTAAGAGATGAAGATGCAAGGTTGGTGTACATAAACGACCTTGAGAAGACCAACCAGACTTTTGAGTTTGCTGGAAACTCAATCCAAACTGGGAAGTACTCAATCCTCACTTTCATTCCAAGGAACCTGTTTGAACAGTTCCATAGAGTTGCTTACATATATTTCCTCATAATAGCCATTCTCAACCAGCTTCCTCAGCTTGCAGTGTTTGGGAGGGGTGTTTCCATCTTGCCACTGGCCTTTGTCCTTCTTGTTACTGCTGTGAAAGATGCTTATGAGGATTGGAGGAGGCACAAGAGTGATAAAGTTGAGAACAACAGGTTAGCATCAGTTTTGGTTAATGGTAGATTTGTAGAGAAGAAATGGAAGGACATTAGAGTTGGTGAGATCACCAAAATCAATGCAAATGAAACCATACCTTGTGATATTGTGTTGCTCTCAACTAGTGATCCAACTGGGGTTGCATATGTGCAGACTATTAATTTAGATGGGGAATCAAATTTGAAGACTAGATATGCAAAACAAGAGACACATTTGAATAAGGAGGGGTTTAACTTTAGTGGGTTGATTAAATGTGAGAAACCCAATAGGAACATATATGGATTTCAGGCTAACATGGAAGTTGATGGCAAGAAGTTGTCGCTTGGATCATCCAACATTGTGCTTCGTGGATGTGAACTCAAGAATACTACTTGGGCACTTGGTGTTGCTGTGTATTGTGGCCGTGAGACCAAGGCCATGCTCAATAGTTCAGGAGCTCCATCTAAGAGGAGCAGGTTGGAGACACGCATGAACTTTGAGATCATCATGCTCTCTTTCTTCCTTGTGGCATTATGCACTGTCACGTCAGTTTGTGCTGCTGTGTGGTTGAAGCGCCACAAGGATGAGTTGAATCTCTTGCCATATTATAGGAAACTTGACTTCTCAGAAGAAGGGGAAGTGGAAAGCTATAAGTACTATGGATGGGGGTTGGAAATTTTCTTCACATTTCTCATGTCAGTTATAGTGTTCCAGGTCATGATTCCCATTTCCTTGTACATTTCCATGGAGCTTGTGCGTGTTGGTCAGGCTTACTTCATGATTGGAGACAACAGAATGTATGATGAGACAACAAAGTCAAGGTTTCAGTGCAGGGCTTTGAACATTAATGAAGATTTGGGGCAAATTAAGTATGTTTTCTCAGACAAAACTGGTACACTCACCGAGAACAAGATGGAGTTTCAATGTGCCAGCATATGGGGGGTTGATTACAGTTCTACAAAATCCAGCATAGAGGATGAGCAAGTTGAATATCCTGTGCAAGGTGAGATTTATTTTATTATGCCTCAAATTTGTTAGTTTATTCTACTCATAGAATCATTTTTAGTACTGCCTTTAATGCATACCTATCTTGTTTATAGTTGAAATAACAACATTTTCTTTTTTGTTTGTTATTACGTGCTCTCAGTAGATGGAAAGGTCTTGAGACCAAAGATGAAGGTGAAGGTTAATCCAGAGCTTTTGCAATTATCAAGAAGTGGAGTTGGGAATGAGGAGGGAAAACGAATTCGTGATTTCTTTCTAGCACTTGCAACCTGCAATACTATTGTGCCTCTTATTGTTGACACACCTGACCCTGATGTCAAGCTGATAGATTACCAAGGGGAATCACCAGATGAACAAGCATTAGCTTATGCTGCAGCTGCCTATGGTTTTATGCTTATAGAACGAACCTCGGGCCATATAGTCATTGATACTCATGGAGAAAGACAAAAGTAAGTTGAATTTTGTTTTTGATGGTTATTTTCTTTTTCTTTCTACACAAATGGTTACTGACAAACTCTCTATTTTTACAATGAAAATGATGAAACAGTTTGTTGTTAATAGTCTAATATAAGTGTTGTTTAGGCAGATAGGAAGGGGTGTCTAAAAAAACTTTTATGTTTGAATTTTCATGTGTTTTATTGCTTAACCTGTAAGATTACTAGTACTGATCAATACTGTCATTTAAGTATGTCTTGATTCTTGAATATGCTATATACAACTTTTGTGTTCCTTCTTCCCTAGCTCTCTAGTTATTTAGTGCACATAGTAAGTGTACTTAATCTTGATGGTTAGCTAATAAACATGAGATGAAACCTCCTTTAATGTGGTTCAATGCTTATTTATTATTTCTAATGAACCTTCCCATTACGGGCAATGCAGGTTCAATGTCTTGGGTTTGCATGAATTTGACAGTGACCGAAAGAGGATGTCAGTTATCTTGGGGTACCCTGACAATTCTGTGAAAGTTTTTGTCAAAGGAGCAGACACATCCATGCTTAGTGTGATAAAAAAATCATTTAACATGGACCTAGTAAAAGCCACTGAAACCCATCTTCACTCTTTTTCTTCCATGGGTTTGAGGACACTTGTTATTGGGATGAGAGAGTTGAATGCTCCAGAATTTGAGCAATGGCATGCAGCCTTTGAGGCTGCGAGCACTGCTGTGTTTGGCAGGGCTGCTATGCTCCGTAAAGTTTCTAGCATTGTAGAGAACAATCTCACCGTATTGGGAGCATCTGCCATTGAAGATAAACTGCAACAAGGTGTGCCTGAAGCCATTGAATCTCTAAGGAGTGCAGGCATCAAAGTGTGGGTTTTGACTGGGGACAAACAAGAAACTGCCATATCCATTGGCTACTCCTCAAAGCTCCTAACAAGCCACATGACTCAAATTGTAATTAATAGCAACAATAGAGAGTCATGTAGAAAGAGTTTGCAAGATGCCCTTGTCATGGCTAAAAAGCTCGTGTCCACATCTGGGGTTACCAACAATGCTGGAGGAAGTTCTGATGCACCTACAACTCCAATAGCCTTGATCATTGATGGTACCAGCCTTGTGCATATTCTTGACAGTGAGCTTGAAGCACAGGTAGGAGATTAGTCCAATTAAATCTTGAATGGTATTTAGAATGTACTTCTTGATGATGTCTTGTTCGCTGATTTTGGCTACATGTTTTAATTCAGCTATTTCAACTAGCAAGTGAATGTTCTGTTGTTCTATGCTGTCGAGTTGCTCCACTGCAAAAGGCTGGGATTGTTGCCCTAGTGAAGAATAGGACATCTGACATGACGCTAGCCATTGGAGATGGTATGTGACTAGTTACTAACACCTTGCCATTCCCCTTCAAAAAAATGATAGCAAAATAAAATATGACAAAAGCACTGACAGAAAATATTTAGTTTTGACTGGCCTGATTTAGGTGGTGTGTAGTATAATAAATTCATTATGGCATGTGTCACAGGTGCTAATGATGTCTCAATGATCCAAATGGCTGATGTTGGAGTTGGCATCAGTGGACAAGAGGGTCGACAAGCTGTAATGGCATCAGATTTTGCAATGGGGCAGTTTAGATTTTTAGTTCCTCTCTTATTAATACATGGGCACTGGAATTACCAACGGCTGGGGTACATGATACTATACAATTTTTACAGAAATGCTGTCCTTGTTCTTGTACTATTTTGGTGAGTCATAATCCAAGAAATGTGTATATTTGTTGATTCTTTGATCATACAGCTTTCAAATTTTGCCACAGACCTCACCTTCAAAAGTTTTTGTTATTGGGCTTGATGTTCTTCTGAGTCAACCAACCCAGTGATTTAGAAATTATATATATATATATATATATATATATAGCTTTTTTGGTATTTTTGACGTATTCAATAGTCTTCTAAAGTATGAGTTATTGTATTTTTCTCTTTTTGGCAAATTAGATGCATTCCTCAAGATTTTAACATTTTAGTATTGTTATGTGCATCTGTTTTCCAGGTATGTCCTCTACACTGCCTTCACTTTGACAACTGCTATAAATGAATGGAGCACCACACTGTATTCAATAGTTTACAGTTCATTGCCAACTATTATTGTTGGCATTCTGGATAAGGATCTTGGTAAAAGGACTCTCCTAAAGTATCCTCAGCTTTATGGAGCTGGACAGAGACATGAGGCCTACGACAAAAAGTTATTTGTGTTGACAATGTTAGATACTTTGTGGCAAAGCATGGTTGTCTTCTGGGCCCCCCTCTTTGCATATTGGAGCAGCACTGTTGATGTGGCCGGCATAGGAGACCTTTGGACTTTTGGAGTTGTTATTTTGGTTAATTTACACTTGGCCATGGATGTCATAAGGTGGTATTGGATGACTCATGTTGCCATTTGGGGCTCCATTGTTGCAACTTTCGTTAGTGTCATGATCATTGATGCTATTCCCTCACTTCCTGGCTACTGGTATGTATCATCTTTTTCTTTTCCATTCTCTTGCTCTCTTTTTAAATTTTTATACAATAAACCTAATGTTGTATAGCATTCATATAAATTCTATACATATTTGCTGTTTTGGACATGTTATATATTGAACTAACCTTTAACCTAATAAAATACGTTTTGCAATGCCAACTGTTCGGTGTTTTACATGGAAACAACAATTCAAATTTCTGTATCATTTTCTTAAAACAGATTTCTGTATTTGTCTTCCTGACTTTATATGTTGTTTATTTTATTCTGTATATTTGTTTTTCAATTCATGTAGCAAACATCACCTAGTAGTAGTAGTTCTAAGCTACTAAGCAAAAAGACTAACCTTGGTTTCTCCATAACATTGCAGGGCCTTCTTTCATGCTGCAGGAACTGGATTGTTCTGGTTATTGCTGCTCGGAATCGTGATAGCCGCATTGCTTCCTCGTTTGGTTGTAAAATTTGTTCATCAATATTATTTTCCTAATGATATTCAAATTTGTAGAGAAGCTGAGAAAGTTGGGTATGAGAGACTTGTTGAAAGTGGACAGATAGAAATGCTTCCCATCTCGAATAATCTACCAAGATGAGAGAAGTGATCATCTTCCCTTTTTGTTTATTTTGCTTCCTTTTCTATTGTAAAGTTGCACATTCTTTAGGCTACTTCAGAGTATTTCTGTGTGTTGCCGGGGTTTCATTGGTTGCTATCCGAAGGATAGAGAGGTTTTGTTATCACTGCAGAGGTTTTATTGTATCTTCATTCTTTTGTATCATAAATTTAGCGTGTAAATTAATCTTGATTACAGCAGAAAAGAAATAGTTGATTGCATGTTACATATAATCTTTTACATGAAGGGTTGAATTCCTTGCCTCCATCACATGATGATAAATTTATTGCTTGAGCATGTGAAATTCAATTCTAGTATCTGTAGAATTTTTATTGCTATGAGATACGCTGTAGGATGTTCTTTATATTATGCAGGCCACCCTATTAAGGTAGGAGCAGGAACAAGAAATTCGGTTCAGTTAGTAAGGATGAAACAACTTTCTTGAAAGGCTTGAATTCAATTCCTTCTATAAACATAACATTATAATTGTAGGTGATTTATCAGTACCATTATAAGCTCATGCTGGGACTAGTGCCATATACTTGATTGAAAAATCCCTCTAGACTTTATTGCACAAAAGAATATATTATTCACTGATGCTCTCTATTACCAACGTTAATGAGAGTTTGAGTGAGAAATGCCAGAAATGAAATCTCATTTGGTGTCATTCACAAGCAAAAACTCCTGAAATTGTTCTTGAATTTGAACAATATTGATCCAAGGTGAACCATATCCCACCACAGATGAATCCTGTGCAAGATTTTGATTACTATCTTGCCCTTATGCTAGTGAATCCTAAACCCATAACTATAAATAGAAAAAATCAGAACCCCAAAGGTTTGAATTTAATATATGTTGTTATTATGCCAAAATATCTCTACATAAATCGCCATAATTGCTGTTAAGTAGAACTGTCAAAAAGTCCAATTAGCCCAACCCTAACCCTAACTCTGTCCCCAAGTGGATTAGGGCCAAAAAACTCTATAGGCCAAAAAATCTAATAAATCAAAAGTCGTATGAGCTAAAATGAGCTAAAAAGCTCACTGGACCTGGGTTAGGGTCAGGGCTTCAAGGGCTAAATTTTTTTAATAATTACAAGTTTTCAACTTAATTATTAACCACACTTGCGCCAATTTATTTATGTTAATTGACAGGAAGCTAAAATCTTTTGCCCAACTACCCTTCAAGTGTGGTATACCATATATATTTCTGCTGTATATTCTTGGTTTCATCGTTAACCTTTACCAAAATATTATAATTAATGTATATTTTAGTATTCAGACCATCATAAACATCTATCTTAGAACAATGACATTACCATCCGATGTGCTTCACAAGAACAAAGATCATTATACAGTTTTCGAGTTAAATGAAGTGATCCACCCTTACCCATTCACTTTAGAGACAAATTCACTTAGAAGAATCTTCTCTCATTGATAATGTAGAAATTTATTTCAGCAGTAAAAAACCTAAAACATGAAGAAGAATAAAAACAAAATTAATAGTGTTAATAAAAACATGAACAAAATTAACAAAAACAAAAGTAACAATAAGAGCTTAAATGCTATAGAAAATCATTAACAGAGATTCATAGAATGTCACATTGTTAATGAATTAATATATAATATATTAGGACTAAATAATAAATATCTTAATTTTGAAAAGAAAAACATTTTTAAAGTATGGACTATAGTTTTACGTCTTTTTGCATCACTGTCCCCTTTGCAGCAAGAATCTCCCTTTCTCCCCCAACAAAGAGAATCTCTTGAGCATGGTCTTCAGGTCGATTCTTGGTAGCAAGTTAAAAAAAGCTAAAATTAATGACATTAATCATTAGTGAGGATTGTTTTGCATTTCTAAATAGACTGATTAATACAACTTTTTTAGTCTTAATCTTTGTGTTGAGATATGGTTTGACCTTATTCTAGCTTTATTTTCAAAATTCTCCCTTTTCTCTGAAAATACCTAAAATTAATGTCACTCTCTTAATTCTTGACTTGAATTTCTAAATTAGCCAAACATTGCAACTTTAATCATGATCTATATGTCGAGATTCAATGAACAAAAAATTGCAAAGAAAAGAGGACAAATCACATGTATATAATAAACCTTATATCATCTTTTAAGTACAATTTGAAATTCATGAAATAACCTATTGCCTAGCCATTTAGGCTCTATATTTGGAACAAAATTCAGATCCAAGTTGAATTTTACTTTCTCGTCTTACTTTGTAAATTTCACTACAAAACCTAAATATCCTTAAATTCGATTTGATTCTAAATTTTGATCCAAATATAGATCATATCAAGCTAAGATAATAGACTATTTGATATGACCTTTCAAGTTATCTTACAGATTAGGGTTGGCTGCAAGCATGTCATTGGTTTCTTTTTTCCACAGAATTTTGTCAAATCAACTCTAAGCTGAGATCAAGACAAAAGAAGTTGAAATGTTTAGCCAATTTAGATATCTAAGCTTAGAACTTGTCGAGAGCTATGAAAATTGCGGCTCCACCCGACACGGATAACGGGTTGAAACGTGTCGGGTTTATTTAGTTTAAGATAAACAATGGACTTGCATTTTTATTTTCAAGTCTAACCTTATATGGGTTACTGTAATTTAAATAATTTTTTTTGTTATTTTTTTTTTATAATAGATTACTTTTTTTTTCTGTTTTCTGTTTTTGTAATAAAATATTTTAAGTTGATTTTATAACAGCTTAATAAGTCATTCATTTTTTTTAATTTTTGTATTAGACCATTTTTTTAAAATGATAACAGATTACTAGTTCTTTTCTTTATTGTTTTGTAATAGCTATTTTTTTTATTTTTATACACAATAAATCTGTAAAAATATAAATAAGTTTATAATTAAACAAAATTCTGAAGACAAAAAGTTCATACACATAATAAGTCCACAAATACATATCTAGACTAATTACCAGACTTATGATTAAATCGAGTAAAGTTCTATCGAGTACCAAGTTTATTTAGATTGAGTCAAAATGACTCGAGATAATTTTAAACCTTATTTTTTATAGTCTAAACTCGCATTTAACAGTTGTTTTTACTCAATCCATCGAGACAGTCTATTTTGCTAACTCTACTTGTTGCTCCCAAGAATAAACTAGAAAAGTAAAAACCTAATTTCAGATTATCTTTTTTTTTCTCATATTTATTTTTTTATTAATACATCTTTAAATTTATTATTTTATTGTTTAATTTTTAATACATTGTTATTGACAATTTCATAGACAAATAATCTTCATACATGGTTGAGAAATTCCAAAATGTTATGTTTAAGGGTGGAATTTTAGTCCTTTCCACTTCCAACGTTACAAGAAACTAAAACATAACAAAATAATCATACAAAAATCAAAACATAACTTTTGAAGTAGAGTGACTAGTCTAGAAAAAGATATTTTTAAATTAAACAGAACAAAACATTTATGCAAGAATTAAAATATAAATTTTTTTACCATAAATTAAAAAAATTAATGTACTTGTCTAGAAAAATTAAAAATAAGGTACTAAATAAAAAAATAATAAATATTTAAGATGTTAAAAATTCATATATTTAATTCAAATATTACTTATTTATAGTTTAAGATTATATATATATATATATATATATATATATATATATTGACGTAGAACTTATTGATTAGTGAACACATAGATCAATAAAAAATAATTATAATTAATAAATTAATACTAAGAATAATTCACATATTATAAAGATTTTTAATTATGATAAAAAAAAAGAGAGACTACATTTGCCTTGATATATTTTTTATGGATTATATAATGGTACTTATTCTTTATGTTATTTTACTCTTTAAAATTTACATGTTTTATGGAATTATTTAATTCAAATATTTATCACTTATTTATTATCAATTATGCTTGATATTATTTTAGTGTTTTGTATTATATTTATTTCACAAAGTAAATAAGTGTAATTGTATTTTTAGATTAATCAAATATATTTTTATTATCATTTTTGTTATATATTTTTAATGTTTCATTTTAATCAAAATTTTTACTAACACGTTTTTAAATTTTGTTAAAATTGTTATATACTTTAAATAACTAATAAGAAAGTGAAATGAATATTATTATTACCAATATAAAAAAGTTAATGATAAATTTTACACAAAGAGCTTAACAATAAAGTCTATAAACAATCTTTCAAAATTGACCAACTGATTCTTCTTCCTTGATGTGAGTCAAAGTGGATGCGATAACGCGTGACCTTTGGTATTTACCTCTAAGTTAGATTCATAACTGTTGTCATTTGTTTTCTTTCAAATCTCATAAAAGAATTATAAATAAAGTGAAAAGATAATCTAGTCTCTCTAATAATTTTATTATTTTCATGAACAATATCATGTTACTCGTTCCAAACTTGTACACATTGCTTTAGAGAGCTATTCAATTAACTACTTTTTAATACGTGCTAGAATTTCTATGTCTGGAGTACAGAATCATCTTCAAAAATTTCAGTGAGACATATCTTCAAATATTTTAGTCAAACTTATGCCAAATTTAAATACCTTTTGAAGCAACAAAACACCATGTAAAGAAACTTAATTTTTAATGAAATAAATACCTCGACTTCAATCTTTTTCAATAAAATCATCACACGTCAAATGACATATCCAGCATATTCACCTTTAATGAAAAAAAAACACAATAAATTATCATTTATAATGTCAAGATCAAGATAGTCTTAGAATTTTTTTAAAAATTAAAAAATCTGAAATAACATACCACTATACGTGAAATTTGTACAACCATGTAACAGTCACAATAGTATTGTTAAAATTAGTTTAAACATGAATAACTCCTTTTGGTATTTTATGAGCATACTTACGTGAATTAATAAGTTCATTTTTACGCGAACCCATTTTTGGTATAGATTTTGTTAGATTATTTTATAAAAATAAGTTCGAGATATATAGATATATCCATTTCATTCAAAAACGGATCCTTTACTCTTTTTTCTAACTAATTTCTAAAAAAATTGAAATATCATACAACCACATGTGGAATTTGTGCAATGACTTTTAAAAAACAACTTATTTTCTTATTAAACTAAGTCTCTGAATGACATGTTTAAGTCCTTGACATGGAATATTTTATATTATCATTTACAAAAAAAGTATTGGTTCTTTTTTAAAAGTTGTGAATGATATACTTAAAAAAAACTAGCCGATAATTTTATATTATCGTTTACAAT